GATACATAAACTTTTGGGATTGACTGTATAGCCAATACATCCTTAAAGATATGCATGTAGAAAATTTCTAGGTGAAACAGAATAATTTGGTTCTGTATTTAATTTTCTACAAACGCATTATAGTTTCAAATATTGCTGACTTGTGCCATTGAAAATTCGCATTGGTCTGTACTACTGGAAATCAATTAAGAGAGCTGGGTAGAAATTTTGTACGATGATTTGGCTCATTTTGAGAGCTAAATGTGACATATTCAAAGGTATTTGAATCGCGATTCATGCTGGTCTTTGAGAATCAGGAACGGGTAAGGAATAGGACAGCTTAGAGCAAAAGCTCGCCTAATGGTGTCTCGTGTCGAATTCAGTCGCTAAAACGTGACCTAGTAAAGACGATGCGCCACTGAAAGACCAGGAGACACGATCTCTTTGGTCTCTCTCGTGTTTTCTCGTTCCAGTTCCTTTGATTGTCCCGATACCAAATACTGGTCCGAGAATCAATGAACCGTGATAACAAAATGTAAAGATCAAAGAGTCTCTCATTTAGACTTATGATAAAGGAAAATTTCTAATGGCATTCACGATCATATTTTTATAAAAATGATTTGTTTAATCATGATTTCAGTCCGCAATTGACTTGGCGCGATATTCAACATCTGACAGTGTTAACATCGAAAAGGAACTCGTTATTCGATGCGAAGGGTAGATTTCATTGGACTATGAACGGGGTGGGTCTGGAATTCAACCACTTATTCGGTTACGGCGTACTAGACGCTGGGGCGATGGTCGCCTTGGCGAAGAAATGGAAAACCGTGCCACCGCGGTACCATTGCGAGGCTGGTTCCGTGCTCGAAACTCAGTGAGTATAACGAAGGAAAAGCGTGAATTACAATTGGAAGAGGCGAGTATCGATTTTTGCCGCCATTCCTGTTACTTTATCTTCGACGAGACTCTTTTTATTTTCCCTGGAACGATTTCCACCTCGCCGACGTCTGAGCTCGAACTGGGACGCTTGTCAATTTCCTTTTTAGAGAAGTGACGAGCGATCGATCGATCCTGTTGAAAATAAAGACTGATGCCTGCGCTGGTACCGAGTACGCCGTCAACTATCTGGAACACGTGCAAGCGGTAATTTCCGTGAACGCGTCGCGCCGCGGCGATCTCGAGCTATTCCTGACTTCTCCCATGGGAACCAGGTACGTCGAGATTCGTGGAAATTAAGTGCCGTGATTCACGAGCGACTGACTTTCAGGTCAATGATTCTCAGCCGCAGGATAAAGGACGACGATCATAGGGACGGCTTCACCAAATGGCCGTTCATGACCACGCATACCTGGGGAGAGTATCCTCAGGGCACTTGGTTGTTAGAGGTATCTCGATTATACTTATCGTTTATACGATGCAAATATTGAATCAGGATTATCTTCGAGATTTATTATACATTCTGAAATTGACTTTGAAACAGAGTTAAAATTCCGATTGTTTGATAGTATTGCATTTACGATTTGAAGCTGTGTACGAGGCTGAATTTCTTTTAGGTGAGCTTCAATACTCAGAAACCCCAACGCGGATGGATCCGTGAATGGACCCTGATGCTACACGGCACTAGAGAGCCACCGTACACCGGACTTCCGGCTGCGGATCCTCATTCGAAATTGGCAATCGTGAAGAAGGCCCACGAGGAGCGATCGACTTCGATGTAACGACTGAGGACACTGAGAGATGTTTCAACGCGACTAGTCTTTATTATTTAAACGAAATCTCATTTCTACGGGCAGACAGGAACAGTCGAGTGTATTACGTAACTCCTTATGACAATCCTTACTTTCCAGTTCTGCCGATTGTTTTCTGTGATAAGATCAGTTCTGATCACAGTTTCTCGTAGCAGCTTATTACTTTTTATTTTCTCGATGGATCTTACAATTAGTAATTCTCATTAGAGATTTAATCAGGAATTCAATTGGTGCCATATCCACTTTGAACGACTCGTTATAGTTATCTCGATAAATGATTCATATTCTATTTGTTAGTTAATCGTGTTAGAGAAATTGAATATATAAAGAAAAAGAGGAATCCTTTCGTTGAAAGAAAGTGAACGAAGAGAAGGCATCTTCATTTTTAAGATTGCCGAAGTGTCTCGGTTGGGAACAAATAAATCATTCGCAAGCTGTCCTCGCAACTCGACGAGCCCGTCCGTCTCATACCGATTAAATCAATAGATTTAGCTGAGTTCTTTTTAGCGCGTGTCGAGTTGGGAGGTGATAACAGTGGGTCCACGCGTGTCAACAGGTTCTCCGAAGTGTTTCAACACTTTTGCACGATATATTTACTATAAACTATTTAAAATTTAAGTATATACACGTACGTACAGTCGAATCTGAAACAGGAATTAAATAAAGAAAGAATTTTTCTTTTCGGCATAAATCTTGAATACTTCAGACTCGCAGTTTTTATACGGAGGACTCTTAGGCTGTCAAGCCTGTGTATTTTTTCCTCTTAAATCTCTAAGCACGCGTCGAGCATGCTTAAGCGTGATCTACTCACATATCCATAAATATCGGACCCTAAATACGACGCACAACGTGATAAGGACTTTTTACAAAATTCAACAGCGACGAAACATATTATACATCAGTAGTGGAAGTCAAAGACTTCGAAATCCTTAGACGCCTTTGCGTCTGTACATACAATTATAAATCGAGAAGGTCTACTTGTCGTTTACACGCGTGGAAACCAGTTCGAGACACGCGATCCAATTTTGATTTTCACGGCGGATTCAACTGAACAAGAATAATGTTACTTTCTGAATAGAGAAGAGACTCGGCAGGTTGCTTGTTTATTCGCTGACTAAACGCTATCTCGTGAATTATCGTCGATCTATGTGCTTTTGTAAGGTAAACGGGATAATTACTCTGATGGCTTTCAACACAAATCTATAAGTTGAACTATGAATTCCTAATTTCATTTTTTAAACAATATTTATGTCTCTTGATTGGAAGATTAATTAAACTGATTATTATTTGTATTAAAAATGGGTTTGCGTTGGAAGCTATCAGTCTCATTGGATAAAATGCTCCCTTCGGAGGGACACCCATCAGTATTAGATCCATCTACCATTAATTAACTAAACCGACGACTCTTGTCGACTAGGTGATAACCGTAAGATTATTTCGGATCAACGTGCACGAAAGAAAACACTCGACGGTGAGACTGGGATCGCGTGCGTTCCACGTGGACCACGAGGTTGGGCTCCCGGTTTCACATGAGAGTTTTCCCAGTGAGAAGAAACGTTCCATGTATTTACACGATCTCTGTATATGTGTGCTCGTCGTACAAAGGAGCCTCCTTGTTTTGATCCCGTGGATTCGAGGATAGAACGATACTAATTGGAAAAATCGAGCCGAGCTTAGAGAGGAGGGGGCAGTTAACGTTATACCATAAGATATCAATTCTCGAAGGAAGTAATTACTTTGCCGGTGCTCGCCGCACTGCTACTCACTCGATTTCAGAGACAGGAAAGAGGATGCGTGTGTGAGAGAAGATACATAATATAGGAACCAAAAAAAAAATCGTGTAGATACTCTAGATACTTAGAGAGTTTTGAAGTTACGCATAAAGGAATGAACGTCAACAGGAAATGAATATACATATATTATATATATATACATATAGTTGAAGTGAAAAATTTAATCAACCTTATTCTGTACGTGATGTACGTGGATGAATAAAATCTTTATTTTTTGGCCTGCATCGTTTTTATACTGTACCTGCGATCAGACCTCTGACACTCGTTCCCCTTGCATTCCACTATTACCAATATTTTCCAGTAGAATCAAGCTGAAACAAATGCTTTGCTATGTTTCCTTTTCAAGACAGAAGGTCGAGGTATTACACAAGGATAAGATTGTCTAAAGGAGGATGACGAGTTCTAAGTGTATTAGAGCTAAGCAGATATTTCGTGCGAGCCTATTAAAATCTTTGAATTAAAGTTGTTTTGCTTTGAACGTAAGGCTTCGCACTCCTTTAGAATCTTCCAGTTATCAATGTCAATCACGTTTGAAATATCATTATCAACCATTGGTACAAGAGATCAATCATTTGTTTTTTATACAAATGAGGAATCTACCGAATGAATGCAAAGTTTGAATCGCTTTGGATGTATTGAACGAGGACTGAAAGAAATTGCATCAATCAGAATAGTGGATGCAAACACGAATTCAAAGCCGAGGGAATGAAGCACTCTATTATTTAACAAGCGAGGATTGAAGTATCGTGCAACGTGCTTGAAAATTAGTTCAGCCAATGGGAATAAAGTTCGGAACGTATCTGCGAATTTATTTCAGGTACGGGTTAGAAATTTGCATTGCTGAGGAAATTATACATAGGCGTCCTCTAATGAAGTTAAAATTTTCATATATTGCGCTTTGCCGGTAGGAATATTTCGCGGAGTGGAAAATGGAAAAGGGAAATGCGTGAAGCTGAAAAAATTCAGAATCATTTGGATTATCTCGACTGAAGGAAAGAACATCTCCAAGTTATTTTCTATTCTGTTTGATTTTATAGAATTATATTTCTGAATTAGCAGAAGAAGAAAAACAGCGCGAAATTGTTTCTTGCGTTCTGAATCGAATCGATATGTTGAAACGCTTTAAACTGTAATAACGGGGGAAAACGAGCAAGGTGAAATGTCGATGACTGTGGATTCTCAGTCGAGATGGAATATATTTTAATGGATTGTTTGCGCCGCTAAGGTAGTCGTGATTACATCAAGCTTCCTTCCTCCCACCTCCGCCCTCTTCCCTTTACTTTTCTTTTTTTGAAATCGATATTTTAAACCACCAGCGCTGACCTAAAATAATTTCCATTTATTTTCTTCGTGCTCCAATTATTGCCGGTAGGAACAGTAAGTTCCGCTGTGTATGCGGGAACCATTGTTTAAAAAAAGCTAGATCCGAATCTTTCCAGAGGAGCAAACGTTAATGCAGCTTCTCCTATTCTTTGTTTTGCTCTTCTTTTGGTATCTCATTTATTCCTTGGCTACACGCTTCCAGTCTGGACTCAACAGATTGTCAACTAACTGTTTTTATTCGTTTGAGTATAAATCTGGAAGCCAATTAGCACAATTGAATTTCATTCTTGCTAAATTGTTACGTATGGTACATATAAACCCATTCCTATCTCTGAATGAGGAAACGCGTGCGGCGTGCATTTCGGAGCTCTCTCTCTGTGAATTAATTCGAAAGTAACCAAGCTCTTATATCACCGGTTTGCAAGGTCGGAACATCACGGTATAATAGCGCCACAATTCAATGGTACGAGATTGCAACGTCAGGATCCGACTGTCCCGGGATGTTACATTATGTTCCAAGGTTTTCTCCCCCTTTCAGAGCTTTTAACCCTCTCTTTTGCCAGATCGTTTCAGGCCCATGAGAAACACGCACCATCGATTTAAAAGTACGACTCGTTCTTGTCCCAGCATTCAAGGCCAGTTACAACCAGGAAAATTTCTTAAAAGTATTCGACACCCGGAAATCAGGGATGCTTGTCGTAGAAAAATTAAGATAGTACTGCTGTTCGATCATACTTAATTGATTTGTTCATTCGTCAAGCGTTTTCCTTTTAATTTTTCCACCTTGGTAGTTTCAAAGGTTTTACTCGATGCTCGCATGCTCGCACATCGATAAGTGGATTAAGTTATCACGCGGATCTGACGTTTAACCGCCGCGGCGTTAGCTTAATCGATGTTTCGCGAGTGTTCTCGCGAAACCGTTTCGTTATCTACCCGGGGACCGTGGCCTACGGACAAATTCGTGACGAGTTTAATGAGCTGACGTCAGAAATTCTACCTTGCTGGTTCTTTGATGCGACAAATACAGTCCTCGGCCCACATTCGTCGCGATCACATTCCAAGTATATTTATTATTCTTATTATTATTATCGTTGCGATAAACAGTAAATAATTTATGAAAGTTTTACGAAACTTAAAACACAAATGTAAATTGAGAACACATAAAAATAAATTGTGATACATAAAAGTTTTCGTTGAACAAATGATCACGTGAAAATTGGATGAGCATCGATAAAACGGTATAACAAATACGATTAGCTGGCAATTAAGAGGCTCTCCGATGCGAATTGTTGGAGATTAAGCGAACAGACGCACGGGAACAATGATTCATTTTCACGTCGGGTTTTTTTTTTTGCTCACCGAACGTGTATTCGATGCGCAAAAAGGAAAAGCCATTATTTACGTCCTCCTGTCGTCTGACAAAGTTTCCGCGACGAACAAAAGGAACGCATTCGCAGTGGCCACGCTCGCGACGTGTTTGAATATCGGGGGCTTGCGCGTTGCGTCCAACTTTGCGGGGCTTTACTAAACCAGAATGAGAAAGCGGATGAGGGAAGAAGTGAGATAGAAAAGGAGACGAGGCCGGAGAAAAGGGAGAGGATACAAGAGGAAGATAAAAACGAGAATATGGAAATTAGAAGAACAAGAGACAGACTATTTCCAAAAGAAATTATTTGTAAGAAGTGTGAGAACGAAGAGGAATGTTTACGGTCAAAATGAAATGAAATAAATGCAACCTCGAGACCCTTCGATGTACACGAATTAAAAATAATAAAATGATATTTATATAATAAGAATAAAATAGAAAATCTAAGGAGAGTAAACGGAAGATAAGAAGATTGGATTTGAAGTTAGACGATAAAGAGAAGGGGTGAAATTGTAGAGAAGAGGGGAAACAGAATGAGTAGGGGGTGGATAGAGGCGGAGGGGCGAGAACGAGAGGCGGCACGGTGGTTGAGTTCGGTCCGACAGTCCGCGTGTTACCCCCAGCCGTAAAGCAGGGCCGCGTATTCTCGACTTCCGGTTAACCCGCCAGATTAGACGCAGAAACGGTCCCGGGAGATAGCTTCGTTCTCTGTGGACGTCCAGTGAACCGGAAGTGACACTTGAACCAAGTGAAAATCGAACGGGAACGAGCTCGTCCCTGGATCTCGCACAGGTAGATCAATTGATCATTGAATATCGCTCAGAAAATTGAGATTACTATTTTTCAAGTATTTTCATCATTTCTAAATTTCACGCCGAGTTTTGAAATTTGTTGCTGGCTAGTCGGTGCACTTTTTCAAAGAATATTATCTGAGTGCTGCACTGCAAAAAATGTTGCACTCGGCTCCTGCTAACGAGCCTGTTAACGAGCTGAGCGAGCATCAGCTACATAATTGTTTACGCGCAATGTTTGACGTTCAAAGTATCATTCAATGACGTATCCTTCCTGCACCCTACATCAATTTTTCCAACGCCTATTTTAAATAGTAAAACGCGTCACCTTGAAACGTGACAGTACAGTCGTACATCGTGTTATATCGATCGAGGGTTTACATAACTCTTGCGATTTGGATACGTGAACGTTTGTAGGATGATCGATCTCCTTATCGAAATCCTGAGGAAATCCTTTCGGACGTCGACTCGACGCAGAGAGAGTGCTAGTTCGAGTTCGAGGTCAAGCTTTGAAGTTTTTCCGGCCGAGAGAGACGGATAGAGCGCTCGATACGAAAATACTCGATGCTAAAAATAGTTGGAAATTTTGCGACGGTTCGATTAGCTCGAGGACGAGCCCGGAACTTTTTCAATTCGGTATCGCGATGCGTTTGAAGCCAAGCAACGGTGGCTTGTTTCCTGTGAAATCTTCCTTCCGATCGAGAAGTTTCAGAAAAGTTCGAAGGCGCGATGTTCCGGGCGACTCGGGTTTCGAAAAACAGGTAGCCGAGACGTCCGACTCGTTTCTTTATTTGCGAATTTATGTTCTATCTAGTCCCGGTTCGTTTGTATTTTTCTCAAGCTCCGATCACGTACTTCATTGACTGGAAAATCTGATCTCGGCCCTGAATAATTTTAGCCCGGGGCAAAAAAATAATTGACGGATATATCGTATTGGCAACTGTCGTTCCTATGAATAAACCATCGTTTATTAATTCCGAGGCAAAATCATAATAGCAACGCGTATATATGTATGCCGTTAACGTTTGCCACGTGGACCGACCGTAATTACTGAAGATGCAAAATAATTAAACGAGCACGATGTTATCTTATTTCGTTCGGAATGCAAATTTAAAACTGAGCTTAAAAAACGGAAGGTATTACGTTAATCGCGGCTGTTATAGATAAATAAGTTAGATAGAAAGATGTACGTGCAAGATGACTTAAGTTTGCGGACAATTATGGTGATCCGATTCTTTTTTCCATAAAAGAACGCTCGCGATTCTCAAGAAGTAATGTGCATAAGTTAGGCAACAGCTTGGAAGTAATCCAGATTAAAATGAGGCTTCTGTAAAGGCAATTTAGTAGACTCCGGTAGATCGCTTCCTACGATACGGGAATGACTTAATTCGTGCGTAACCTTGTCTTTTATAGATGTTTATCTACTACTTCTGACTTGTCCTCAATTTCTCTAACATACTTGAAATAAATTCTAATCAAGCAAGTAAGATAATAATTTCACGAAACCTCTAATTATCAGTATTAATTATAGAACTTCGTGAAAGGTATATAAAAATTATATACTGTACACTGCTTGTTTATTATTAGTTGCTACAGTTTCCCTTGCGAGGGATTTTAACTATCGCCAGGTGCCTATTTCATATATATCAATCTGATTCCTAATTGGTGGCTCGTGAATTGATCACAGAAACCACTCGGCCGAGCTTAGCTTTTCGACGGAATGATTTATCGTTAATTAGCACGCAATAATTCGTGGGAATCGAGGATCCTCGGGACAGGAACCAGATTACACGCGTTAAACAATGGAGTTAATGCAGGGTGAGTGTCACGTAGACAAAGGGCCGTGTTATCTAAGCCGGGGTCCGAAGATCGTAAGCGTCCGCGATAGAGCATTTGAACAAAGCCTTCTTATCAGCTCGCTCCTCTTTAACCGAGTACTTTAATCGGTCGAACGTTCTTCCTGATTTAACTATGAAACCTAACAAGCACGACGGTTTCAGTATACGAAAAATTTAATTGCCTTCATTATACTCAATGATTAGATCAATCTTGAGATTGAAAATCTGAATGACAGATTCGTCACATAAAATATTTTTTAGTGATGAAGTATTTTAATATGACGTGTTTTTCATTTGCTTTCATTGATTTAATTTCTAGATTGAGAGGAAAAGGTGAAGATGCAGAGGTGGAAAAGGCCAGCGAACTGATCCTGCCTTGGCGTTGGCGGGCCCCGGTGGTTGGGGTGAAGGATTCGAGATTGGCGGGCTTTAGAGAGCTTCGGGAGTTCCGCGGGACCCGGCAAATGTGGCTTTGTGTACGGTGAGCCAGGGTTACGGGGGCCGCGGGGCCCGTGGCGGTGGCAGCGGGAGTAGCAGGTCTCGTGGCGAGGCAAGCGTGAGGCTACCCCTGAGTCCTCGCACCCTGTGCGCCCCTGGGGCCGGAGGCGGCGCACATGTGCAACCACCGACTGCGACCACTGGTCCACCCGGGGCCGGCAACAACCCGGGGACCGAGGAGGGAACCGGCCTCCCTGATGAACCCATGGTAAGCAGGAACATTTTTTTTTTTAACGTTCACTTTAAGGATTTAAATGTACCTCGATAAATAATTGAGCTTCCATTCGATTTGTAACTCCAAGTTGTTTTTATACCCTTCGTTGTTTATCTGTAGACTGATAAAATGGAGGGCTGGGTGGTAACAAGCGCAGAAAATTCCTTCTGTTTAATTTCCACCTTTCTTCGCTTCGTCACTTATCCACGTTAATCTAGCGTCGTGTTGACATTCCATTTCCCTCAACATTCCTTTTCCATTTCATTGTTGTTTTCCCTCCTCCAGTTCAATAAGAGAACTTCAGTAATTTGTGGAAAAGCATCCACCACTTCATAGAAACACACAGTCCCTCCCCGAACCCCTCCAGGTTCTTTGCGACGCGTCATCAAATTCCTCTTAACCAACAAGAAATTTCTTGAAAGTTGCTTGACAGTTTTTTCTCTCGATTTTCAGGTGCACGGTGGTGAAGGGGCCGCGCAACAGGGTACCTGGATATGCTGCGTGCCGTGTTACTGGCTGCGTCGAAGCAAGGCCGTGCACAAGGCGATGCTCTCGTTCGCGATGCTCCTCGTCACCAGCCTGCTCGTCACCAGTCCTGTACTTTTCCTCATCACCACGCTGCCGGAGGGAGAACAGCCTCGCGTATGTTCGCCGGTGGTGAGTGACACCCTTTTAACCTCGAAAGATCATTTTTTTTATCGTTCTCCGTGAAAGTACTCGTCTTTCGCGAGCGAAATGGGTTACCTTGATCTTATTCCCACAATTTCGCCCACGCAGTATCTAGCAATGACTTAATAAGCTGAATGAGATAGAGATTAATGATTCATTAAACTAAACGACTAATCAAATGATAAATGGTATTCGTCTGTTTTAACGAGTCGAGAAGTTTAAAATAAGTAGTACGAGTCAAAAGTTCAGAAGACGAAGTTTCTGAGAGAAAGTCACTTTGGCGACGTGTCGAAGTTTGCCAGTAGAATAAAATCAGGGACCAATCGAAATTCAGTACTGGTGTACTTCAACTCCGACTGGTGCGGTAGCCTCGTAAAACGAAGGTCGAGCCATAAACTGACGTATGTATTCGACGTCCGCGCTTCGATCGCGGCCTTTATCGCTGCTTCTTTTGTTGCGACGCGTCGATTCCTTACCCATTTTATTGCGAGACATCGACAGAAATTCGATTTCGCTCTTTTACGAGCCTACCCGGAATTTCCATCAAATAGCTGTACGAAACGTCAGGAATTTTTCCTCTAATTAATTCTGCGTACAAATGAAACGATTGAAACTATTTTCAAATTGGACCATTGTTTTGACAAACCGTTTCATACGGTTCTTGACGGACACCGTGTAGGCGTGTAGCCTTTAGCCACCCTTTGGGTCCAGGATGAATGGAAGGGAACGATTTGTAAGCTGTCTGCTACGTAGCACAGCGTAACAGGTTTTGTCCGCGCGAGCCAGACCGTGAAAGTTTATGTCCTCGCAACGTGTTCCCCATGAAACGTTATATCACGCGTTCTCACGCTGTACTAAACCGCAGACGTCACTGGGTGAAACTGTGTCTCCGGATTTCGAGGAAATTTCCTCCATACCACCCTTCAACAAGGGACATGAAAAATTTCAAGATTCTCTCCCTTGAATGCAAATATTTCTTAGAAAATCAAATATGCCTGCCGAATTCTTTAGGTTCCGGCAGTCGCGTCCCGCAATTTCTGTATCGCGTGGAGAGGAACCGTTGCAATTAATTGCACGGAACGCGATTATGCGGCAGTCGTGTAATCTCAATTGGATTTGACGCGATCGTCGCTGGAAACCTTCGACGGGGCTAAACGCACACAGCCCACTGTTGTTCTCACATGAGTAATGGCCGTATAATTGGTATCAGCTCTCAGTTACCCTTGCCAGGCTTCCCAATTAACATTAAGCAACTTATAATGCAGTTAACGTCCTTGGAAACGATGGTAATCGAATGAACACTTGGTACGACTTAATCACTCATTGATATCAGAGATGAGACTTGTCTCAGAGTTACCCAACGTAGCTTTTTCGAGCATGCGATGCGCTTTTGGTTGTTTCGACTCGCTATTAGGAGCCAGGTTATTGAAATCACCGTGCTTTCACAGTCAACATTAATCTTAGCCCCCGCTTTGTTCGCTCGTCGTTGCTACTTTGACGTCGTTTAGCGCGCCCGCGGTCAGGAAACCAGATATACAGTGAGAGCCGAAAGTAAGCACAGAAAACTAGTACTACGATACTGTATCATGTTTATCTACACGCTCCAATGATTCGTATGGTGTTTGATTAACTTTTAATAGAGATACGGTTCGTATAATATCTCTGAACGAACCGGTTCTTCATTTTTTATAGAAGTTTCAAATGAAATTTACCATCTATGAATACGTGAATAATTATTGTTTTATTCAGCGAGAAATTGTTGAAATTATCAGGTTCCGGATTCCAAAGCGAATTCGGTTCGGCGTTTAATTAGCGTCTACGTATCGCGCGAAATTTCCGGGGTAACGTTATCAATTATGGTTCAATTATCGTCGACAGAGACAATGCCTATCGCATTACACGTTAGTTTATAATCGACGCGTGTTCGCTAGATAACTTCTGTCGAACCGGTACTGTACTACAATTCAGTGTGGATTCGACGATATGAAAAATGCATTCATATAATCCAAGAATATGTATATAGAATATAAGAAATGAAATACCTATTATAATTTCTGAAGCATAAAATTGGCTGGAATTTTATTTTTTTAAATTAACGCCGAGTATGTTTTTCGTGGAATTGTTTTAATTTTCTCTAAACCTGCAGACGTTTATTCTACGATTCTTTCCGATAGGCAAGAGACGCATGAACGGGTTTATTCGGCTGGGAAATCGCGTCCCACATATACCGCGTTCCAATTAAACAATAGTTCAATTTGTCCGGTAGAGCATGGCGTGTAAAAATCCCTTTGTCGCGCTCGTTATAGACACTTTCACGGGGGAATTATTAGACCCGAGGTTGAGCTTTCTTTGACACTTTTGTTTTATTTAAAACCCAGTCGATAGACGGTCAAGCTTGACTCGATGCGAATCGTAATCGTAGCTCCTTAAATTTGGACGTTAAACGACGATCCCGGTGGATTAAGAATATGGAAGCTAATCCGTGATCAATTAAGCGGTTCTTTCCCAGTATATCTGTTAATAAGTTGGCAGTAATTGCTGGGGAGGTAGTTAGAAGGATTCCAGCAGATTGCTCGAATCCGGTTCCGGTTATTTAGGTGATTCTCCTTCTCCTTCAGCTTTCTCTTAATTGCTCGACCGTCTATATCTAATTTATAGTATGCATCTTATCTTAGTATGCATATTATTATTATCTTATCCAGTCTCTCAAAGTCTTTAAAGTTAATGATCGGAGCTGATCAAAATGGGAATTGTATGAATCAGAACAATTACATGAAACTGTCTTTATATCTTGAATCTGAAATAAACTATTCTTTCTTTTAATTCGATCTTGCACCGAGAGGACTTGTCTCTCCGTAGAATCCCGGATCATTAGACTAGCACGTGGTGCATCGGTACGAAGCCATACACCGGAAGGGGTAAGGTTTCGAGGCAAATGTCAACCCTACGCGAGGTCAAGGCTTTACCCTTCATCCTGACCTTTATCTCCTCCCCGGCGATGGACGAATCGACAAGAAAATCCCTCTCGCCTCTGCTCCTCCCATCAAAACTTCCTTCCTCTCTCTTTTTCCCTCGACGGGTTATTTGCAACCAGCAGATCCTCATCGAGTTCGAACACAGAGCTTAAAGTTCTAATGTACTCCCATTTCAAATCCACGTTACTATTCGATGTTAAATATAATTGTTATTGAATATCTTGTTCGATGAATCTGCTAGCCGGATAATAAGTATTTCTATTCTCCGTACGATTATTAGACCCACCAAACATTGGGATGAAAATCGAGGTCGCAGCGAAATTCCATTTGCATTCCATATTATCCTTGCCTTCTTACACACCGGCAACCGAGCTCTCAATTTCAACTCGTTTTCCTCCTCGTAACTGTGATACTTAACCCTCGTGTACTGAAATGAGCTCGGATTTGTTCTTTGCAACGTGATTTACGTGTACATATATGTGGAGAACAGAAATTTGAAGTCGAACGTAATTTCATTCTATTTAATTCACTTTTCCTATATATCGGTACCTCTATCAAAGACGTTTCCTCTGATACCTCTCGCTGATGTTAAGAAATTGAAAATTCACGGATTAGTTCATGAAGCCGCGAGATGTGATAAGAAAACTGAGTCGAATTTTAAGGAAATTCGTTGAAAAGATCCAGGAGTAAGTTGGAAACGAAAACATTGACTCCAAACCAAACTATAAAATCTTTAAAACCTGAAATATCTTATTTTATTAAACGCCTAGGATTTATAATTTAATTCTCGAGTTTTATTATATATTTTGTACATCGGAGGAACTAATGAACGAGAAATAATTCTTGTTTGATTGTTTTTACTGAAATTTTTCACGGGACGATAATTTCACTCGTTGGAGGCTACACGGTGAGATCATCCGTCTCTGTCAGAAAGATGTATCGGGCTGGGATGAAAAGCAATTGATGACAATGAGCACCGAGACGACGACGACGACGACGACGACGTCGACTCGTTTGGTCCTCAAATTTTCAGCGTCTCTCGATTCTTCCAGCCCCGCGTGTTTTTTTTCCGTATTTATCTCCGGAGAACTTGGAAGTTTCATTCGTCTCTTTCAGGGAAGACGTATGATTCCTGATTTCACGAATTCCAACACATTAGTCGAGAATAGAGGCTGACCTGTATATTCTGCTAAACTGAAGGATCCTAAGAAAAATGCTCTTTTCAAACTTGGAGGAATTACCGAAGGAAAACGCGTTTTCTCAAGTTTTCCAACTTTAGTCTTAGCGATTTTCCTTGATTTTTCAAGTTCATCCATTCTCATTCAAATTCGTTTCTTTAATTGCTCGACAATTTATCTGTTCAATAGTTTGTTCTTAAACTGGAAGACTGTGATTAGATTTCTCTGGGCGTTGTAATTTAAAGAGAGAACAATAGACGGTTCGGTAAAAAGAAGGAAATGTGTTTTTGTCTGCAGGACGAGGCGTGCATCAGAGAGAGGGACGGTCCAGACGGCTTGTGCGATTCGAAGGCCTGCGAGGAGGCCTCGAAACGGATAGTGGCGTTCATGAAGAAGGGGATGGATCCTTGCAAGGACTTTTATCAGTTCGCGTGCGGCGGCATCCGCGATCAGCAGCCGTACCAGCCTAGCTCGAGCTTTAACATGCTTCAGGCGATGGTCGACGATCATCTTCACAGTGAGTGGAAATCCTCGTCTTTTTCCATCAACCGTTCTTAGGACGAAAATACTTAGAATCATCTCCAGCTTTTCATTCATCCCTTAATCGTCACAGTCCAGATGAATTCTGTTCTGTACATTAATCTGTCGCATCAATCATATTCAAACGTGTTCCCACCGATCCGAAAAGATCGAGGCACTTTAGGATCTATCACGGGGAGCGAATTAAGGATGTATAGGCTATACATATACTTAAACAATGCTGGCATGTTGAATTTGTTATTATAGATTCCTATTACTATTAAAAACCTAAAATTATAGTGATTTCAAATTTTTCATAGGTAATAGT